CTCTCTCTCTCTCTCTCTCTCTCTCACTCTCTCTCTCTCTCTCACACACACACACACACATGTTGATGGCATTCTAGATTCACCCTGAAAGAATTCAATCAAAAAGTTAATCTTACGTTGATGACGTTCTAGATTCATCCTACAAAATGAATATTTTTCGTCATGCTTATGTCCTTGTTAACTTTTTTTAGCTTACATTTCTTTCATGTTTTATTAACATGGTACAGAAACTTAACATCAGTTTTGATTGTTCAATCAATCTTCAGGTTTGACTGCAAAGTTTAAATACAGAGGGGAGAATAGATCACTGCATGTCCTGTATGGACGAATAAGCAGGTCAAACAGCAACAAAGGTATCCATGACTGGTTTGGACTTGCTAACTAAATTAAATCTGTGGTGAGGCTGGTCATCCAAATAAAAGCAGGTCTGGTCGACGTTGCAGATTATGACATATCAATTATCCCTAGATTATTTGACAATTTTAGTTTTGGTACAAGTTTGCTGACATGATAAACACAAGACAACCTCATGCTTGCCAAAGATGATTGCAAATGACAGTTACCGAGAATCATTGGCCACCACATGTTCAGTACTGACACTTGGTAAAAGCATGAACAACTAAAGTTGCTAGATTAGCATAACAAATAAAACATATCATGCTAGCATGTCATCAATATGAGAGCTCCCCAGAAAAACTGGAAACCTTCAACCATGCCCATCCAAAACTATGTTCTATGCCTGAACATCCTACAAACAGAAACATAAAATTTCCAACAAGCAATAAACTGCCGTAGGATTTTAAGCTGGACTGTATCTTATCAATCAATAAAAAGAAATCACAGGTATTTACACAAAAATGATTTGTATTCTATAAATAGAATCACACTAATCCACCATATTTGTGATAATTCTTTTTCTTTGTAATGGCATACATGGAATAACATGCAACATATCTTGATTGGAGAATTCATCAATACTGGGATAATAAAATCTAATTTTCTTAGAACAAAGTACAAACCATCAGCAATTCTTCATGATAGTTAGTTTTCTTTTTCTTTTTCTTTTTACCATCTTCATGATAGTTAGTTGCTAATGTGAAAATCAACTATATTGACTCTTAAATATCAGAAGTGGCTTGACCAAACATTATGGTCAAATTTTCTACAAAATCACAAGTCCAAAACCATTCAAAAGTAGATACATCTAAGTAAACAGTAACTTGTATCTATGTTTTTTCAAGATAAAAGGGTGATCCAAAGTTCAGTTATTATACAAAGCTAACATAATTTTGAGAAAATTGCCTTATACATACTTGCAGTTTGGCCTGGTTCTCTTGTTTTCACAATATCACAATGAATTTATATAGCAGTTTATTGTGATAGTGTTGCACCGTAGAGGATCTCAATACAGTATGACATACCATCATCGGTTGCCAGGAAAGAATTAAATATTACATATTGGTATGGGATTGGACTGGTATGTACTAGTCGATATGGTCCACATGGAACCAATACCTGATGACATCACTCAACTTGTGATTTGATCCATAAGATACATAGGTAGGGTTTACTCAATACTGGACCTATGACATTGAGGTCATATGCAGATTTATACCCCAAATAAAAACTCAAGCAGCCTATTAGAATGGAGCCAGCTCCAAGCCATTCTGCTAGTTACTCTTCACTATGTTTTTTTGTGTACGAGGCAATTGAATAACACTCAAGTATTAAGTGAACTGTTGCAAAAATTAGATCTAGATATCAATGAAGCTGTAAAAATAATGCCAATGTATCTTCACTTCAGCATGCATAAGATTCTGGAAACTACTGCAGTTTTAAGGCTTAATATAACCAGGGATATTGCATTAAATATAGCTCAATGACAAGAAATCTAATGGACATCCCTAAATAGCTGGGATATTGCTACTTGTTATTGTTATCGTTGTGTTTCTTGTACTAGCAGTTTTGGGCCTACACAACTATTAGGAACTTCAATGAAAAGAGGTGATCCATCCAAAGCTTCAGAACTAAGAAAGTCACCAGCTCAACTTTCTTATTTATGATAATAAATAATAAGCAATGGAAATGTGTACCGGACGAAGAGGGAGACCAAGAACATTAAGAACAACATTTGTCATTGGCATTCTCCGACCTGGTGGATGATGGTATTTACACTTGGCTCCAAATTTACAATCCCCTGTCTTCATGAAGAACTGACATTCAGGTTGCCCAGGTCTCTCAGGAAAAATGTTCCCCCTCTGGTTGGTGCTTGAAGGTCCCGCTGGTGACAGAGAAGGCATTTGCGGTACAGGCAAAGCTGGATTGATCGAAGATGCCTGGTTCTCTAATCCATAAATTGGTTCCGCTTGAATTGTTTGCTGACCAGCAGGTGACAAAACAGGGTTTACAGATGCCTGGCTCGTATGCAATGCCACAAAGGATGACATCTGAAGTTAACCTCTTATGTCCTCTGATATTTTATGATGAAAATGTCTTTTAAGTGTCAATAGTTTTACGAACCGGATAAGGGCTCCAGCTCTGAACTGGAACGACTCCATGAGAGAGCAGCATAGGAGCATAAGACCCTTGCAAATATGACCCAGGCATCACTGAAGGTCTTGCAACTTGCCAACCAGCGTAAGGTGGATACTGATGAGATGAAGGAACTGATGGATGCTGCACCGACGGATAGAATGCAGGTGCAGAGGCAGAGGGCACAGAGGCCCCACCAGGTTGCGGGTGATGGAATTTACAGGTAGAACCAAACTTGCATTGCCCAGTCTTCATGTAGTAGCCACACTCTTTTTCACCCTACAGTTTCATAGTTCGACAAACTTAAGTAACAACCTCAAGTCAGATTAGAAAAATATGTGATCATTAACTAATAAATGAAGTATTGATCGTATCAAGAATATCTAGAACAAGTCTAACCGGTCGTAGTGGATATCCATAGTAATTAAGTGAGACTGGTTGTGCAGATCCACCTCCTTGTCTAGGGTGGTCATACTTGCAACTGGAACCAAATTTGCAACTCCCAGTCCTCATATAGTACTACAGAAAAAGATTTCAATATAATCAAGATTAACAGAATATACATGTAGAACTCCAGCCAAGATATTCTCTGATGCTTAAGTTTCATTTACAATTCACCATTCCACAAATTCTTGCATTTACTACTTCGACCAGACACTAATGCTAGATAAGGTAAATACCTCACATACAGGCTGACCAACTCGCTCTGGATACTCCACAGCTCCTGTCCTTCCTGCTCCAGTCAACTAAAGATGGCATAGATACCGTCAAATTTAACATGACTAGCATACGATCGTGGATAACACGAATCAATTACATCAAATTTCACAGCTTGGTAACTAATCTAGCTCAAAATTCAAACTTTGTGCTACCTAATCATTTTTTTACCAAAACCACTAACTAATTAATAGAAGCAACAGAACAACATACATTACCAACACATAAAGCACAAAACCAAAAGGTAGAGTTATTCCTGCTAGACCCAGTCCAAATCAAAGTTTGACAAAACCCTTACTGATCCACGATCACGGGGATGATTGTAGCGGCACTTCTCCCCGTAACTGCACGTTCCGGTACGCATGTAGTAGGCACAGTCCGGCTCGCCGGGCCTCTCCGGGTAATGCGCATCGCCGCCACCTCCAAAGCCCAACCTCCACATGGACTCTATCAGCACAAAAAAGAAAACGCGCAAAACGAAACTTCCATCATCCCAATTCTCATCGCAGTCCCAAACCGAGAACCCAAACACCACTCAACCCCGGAAAACAGAGGGGGGGAAAAGGGGCGAGTGACGAATAAACCGAGGACCTACCTTCGAGGCCGGTGTCAGGATCGGGGCGGGCGCCACCCGGGGCGGGGTCGCGTCCGTACATATCCATTGACCTGGATCGCCGGCGGCGGCGGTGGCGGGTGTCGGAGCGGAAGTGGGAGGGGCTCTGGAAGGTTCCGGAACGATAACCAATGGAGCGATCGAGCGGGGTTACGGGAACCGGGGAGAATTCGGGCCACCGAAGGGATCGATTCCGATTCCGATGGCGATCGCTGCTATTTCTACTTCTTCTGCTCGATTTCCTCTGAGCCCCCTTCTCTGCGCTCCGCTCTCGATGCTCTCGGTCCTGCTTTCAAAACTCTGTCGCCGATCCTTTCGTGGGTGCGCTTGGTTTTATATAGGAGCCAAAGAAAGATGCAAAATGCCGTATTTATTATTTGTCCCCTCAATAAATCATTTAAAACCATCACATCCCATTCTACCCTCAGAACCTTCCCCCAATTACGAAATCGCCACGTTCCCAGAGAGTCCACTCGCTCGCGTGCACTCTCCCGTTCACCTGGTTTGGTATTGGCCGCCGAGATGGATTGCACGTGGGAACCGCAGTATCTTTGGTCTCGTAACGGAGGTTTGCTAGGTGAGCGGAGGTTAATGGCATCGTCCACCGACGCGTCCCCATGTGGGCGCGTGGTGTCCCGGGGACACGCGTCTACAGAGATTCCGAATTCCATGGACCGACGTTGGTTTCGGGGGAACAGCGGATCCGACCGCACCAAGCTAGACGGAGGTGTGTCGGCGGTGCGAGTTCGACGGTGCGAAGGCGGAGTGGCAGGCAGGTGTTTCTGGGGTTTGGCGAGGGCCGTTTTGGTCATCCGAGACACCGGAAGAGCCCCACCGCGTCCGGATACGGACGCGGGGGGCGTGACAGTCTGATGCCGCCAACCCGAGATTGACACGTTCGTACGTCGCCGGATCATAGATCATCTTAGGTTGGTCCCCGAAATCGACGGCTCAGATTCGCAGGCGAGGGTAAGAAAGGATGGACAGAACCGGGAGTCGGTGCGTGGGTTCGGCGACGAGCGTCCGCAAAAGAAAACCTCCCTTTTCCTTTGTTTGAAATCTTTGATCGTAAACATGGCTCAGAGAAAATAATAATAATTAAAAGTAACTCCGACCCGTTTCGGGTTCACCTCTGTCACCTCCGTGCCCTTTTCGTGGGGGCAGCGATGGCTCCACCGCTGGGTCCCACATGCCGATCGACAGACGGGGAACGGGGAGTAGGTGGGCGGGATGCTTTTGCGGTGAGAATTCAGGCATTTACGTAATTATCCTATTTGGTTAAGCTAAATGAAAGTAGTTAATTAGAAGGATTAGAGATAAATAAGTAATCGGATTTAGATTCAGCATCCCCAATCATTGTCATTACAATAAATGATGGGGATCGCAAGGATGGTTTCCACAAGAATCGCATGCATCATGGTTTACTGTGCATGGCGACATCTTGGCTTCTTGTGCCGTTGCTTGAGACGTTTGAACGACGTCATCCAAGTACGACGACGCACGCGGCGCTTGGTCAACCCAAGCATCTCGCATCAGACATCAGCATACCACAATTGTTGATGCCCCACGTGGCACGTCGTAGTTGATGTGTGTCGGTTGCAACAATAGTGAACCGGTGTGAGAATTAATACTCCAAGTCGGAAGCTCGATGAGCCAAAATCAAACAATATTGACTTCACCGATCCATTTCCATGATTAGTTCAATAATATGAAGCCGTGGCCTCGGGCCAACACGACTGAGTTCGGATCTGAATGATTGGGGATCTTCTTGAGCGACCCTTGAGACCGTTGAGGTGGCCGACTGTGATGGTACGATCGCGACGGGACGATTGTTTCCTTTAGAAGGGAACTCCTCTCCTGGGCACACGATGGGAGGCGCTCCATCTTCGTCCCTGCACACAGGTCGGGTCGAGCCCCTCCGACGATCCAATCAATTGATAGTCACATGGGACTTTTGTCTTTTTCTCTCCTCCTCCATTTCCTCGAAGCGTGGGGGTTTTTATAGTAAAAGTTATCGTTGTCTGATGTGCCCGCTTACAGGGACCAGGATCGTACTTCTAGTAACGTCTGATAGCGGTGTTGGTGTGGCGTGAAGGATCAAGCCTGAGCAGGATGTTAATATGTCTCGACCGACGTTCCGATCTATTCGACCAGGTACTGTCAAGTCAACCGAGGCACGAGACGATGTCAAACCATGTCCCATCGCCATTATTGCCCTCATCAAGTCTCAAGTCAAGTTAGTCACATGATGGATATAGCTCGATGAGCTAAAATCAATATTGACTTCACCGATCCATTTTCATGCCCCTTATTTGATTAGTCTCAAGTCGAGTTAGTCAGGATATGATATAACACCTTGATCATGTGAGTTCATTTATTTTAAGATATGACACAGCAGCTAAAATCGGTAATGTTCTCGTCCATCATCATCATCATCTTCATGATTAGGTTGCAATCAAGATTATAATTACGATGAAACATCTTCCTCATGTTTAATATATCTTGTTGATGTGAGTGTGTTAAACTAAACGGTTGGATAAGAAAAGATTATGAGAATTAATGTTCCTCAGAGACATGTTCGACAAGATCACTTTGTAATTATATCATTAGAGATGAGTAAACTAAGAGTCAAAGCAGGAGGAGGTGGTCATAATTACATGAGCTTAAGGAAGTATAGTCGAAATCTATTTCTTAGAAATTGGATATGTTGGTTGAGAAGATCAATATGACACTAATTATTACAAAAAAATATTTTTAATAGGGAATTCAACATGAAACTTCCATTGGATGACCAGCACGTATGTAATATATAATTCTTACTGAGCAAATCAAATTACAGCAATTACATGGACGGAGTCAATTTATTCCCACCATTCCTCTAAATGATCAATGCAATACTAGTAGCAGTCATATCATATCATATTATAGTGCAACACTGTCAGTGGAACCATGAAACTAAATATGATGTTATTAGAAGATCATCTGATGGATTCCTTCTTCCCCACCCCAACACGGCTCTACACCTCAGCTTGTGGAGTGCTCAGCTTCTCAGGGAGTTCGATGTCGGAGCCTGAAGTCACTGCTGTAGCCATGGCTTCCGCGGGCTGGTTGCCGAGCTTGGTCTTCGTATCATCCTTCTTCGCGTTCTTGTAGACGAGGTAAATGATGATTTGGGCTACCCCGAACAAGAACCCCACCACATTGGGAAGCTGCCGCAGAAGCTCCGGAACATTAATCCATGATCTCATCTACTTCGGCTAGGGATAGAGAGAGAGAGAGAGAGAGAGAGAGAGAGAGAGAGAGAGAGAGAGAGAGAGAGAGAGAGAGACTCACCGCTACGTGCAGATCGCCGAGAAGGAGACCGTAGCTGAGCCATGCAATTGCAGACACGGTGAGGAAGAAGGAGAGTGAGATCGGCATGTACTCCACGCTCTTCGTTCTTATCACCTGCTTCTGCAAGAGATCAAGTTTGCCATGTAAGATGATGACGGTAGCGATGGTGGGTGTCACATCGCAGTTTGCGACGGTGTCAGCTTACTATAATGGATAGCGGAGCCACAAAACAGCTGAAGGCGAAGGAGGCACAGATCCAGCCTGCGATGTTGGTTCGTCGTCCTCCCCGGAGAAATAGCATGGTGAAGAGGACGACCGAACCGTAGGCGCCAACATTGAATAGGGATACCAGCTTCAGCGTGAAGGCCTGCACGAAAGAAGACGAAGATGGTTTGATTGCACTGGTCAAACATGGCGGTGAAGCAAGAACAAGCAAATTGGTTTCTTATCTTCCTCATTTCTGAGAAATTGGAATTTGAGATGTTCTACTAATGAAGAATCAAACAAGATTTAGATGTTCTACTACTGTAACTTTTGTGCTGTGCTCCCAATCTATATGTGAGACAACAAAGATTACCCTGGGCTTCGCCGGGGCATAAATCAGGAACAGTATGAGATAGGCCGTCTCGATAAGGGAAGCTCCAACATTGATGGAGAGCAGCAGGAAATCCATTGTAAGGGCACCATAATAAATCCACATCATGGCACTGAACAAGCCCACCATGTATGGCACCGAACCAAACTCTTCTGTGGATTTCTTCTTGTAGATCTTGTAGAATGTTGGCCTGCCAACACCACGAAGAACCCTTTTCATATACTTGTCAGAAAGAAATGGCAAATGATGCAGACATGGATTGATGATGTTATGAACCACAAATGAATCAAGAACATAAATGTTGGGAGTGGCTTGCTTACATGGGTGCCAAAACCACCAGAAAAGATAGAATATTTCCTGCACAAGGAAGAAAACAAAAGAAACCATTACATATGAAAGAAATGTCTCCAAACATACTTACCAGTCTCATTTCTATACTCTCAAAATTCATTTCTATACTCATGCAAATTTTTCTACATCCTCGTGGGACGTTAAGTTGGGAAATTAATGATCAGAGATGGTCGATCACTTCTTTGCTTGATTGTTATGAGCTCATCAAGCTTTACTGAACTATATTAGAAGAGCTTTCTATCATCATATATCATGAACATAGACAAACAAAGCAAACGAAGAAGGATTAGGGAGAAAGAGGAAGAGGCACACTACCGGCAAGGCCAGCTGCCGTAGCCAAAGGGTTCTCGATGGTGATGACCAGCATTTTCGAACCCTTCTCTTGCTCCTGAGGTTAGAACAGAGCAAGCAAGGAAGCTACAGAGTTGGGTGTGGCAATGGAGGCTGGGCTGGTTGTGCAGCTCACCATCTTCATCGCATCCTTATATAAGCTGCGAAAAAGTGCTCCGAGGCAACCAAAATGGTGGTGAAGCAAGCAATCTAGGCATTAAATTGTTGAGACTGTCCTCATCAACTTCCACATACTCGGCATAAATCTTGAACATTATTGGTCACATGACGAGTTCAGGTGTGTTGATTCATCCACATAATGCCAAGAATAATCGCATGCACTCTTCGAGTTCCTAACCAATGGCAGAAAGGAGTTTAAGAGATCCGTGTCATGCAATCACAGGGACAGTAATGCTGATTATATATATATATATATATATATATATATATATATATATATATATTGTTGATTACATAAATTTTCTCTATCGAGACATTATGACTTAATTGTTGTTGGTCACTTTTAACCGAACTGCAAGACAAGAAATTTGGTCTTCGTTAATGGAGTAGATATCGAGAGAAGTTCCATATTTGTAGTAAAGAGAAACTTGGCTCTATGGTGGTAAGCAAACAAGCAATAGCAATATGATAGGGCATGGAGTCAGATCATAGTCATAAAAGATTACATGAATTAAGGTAACCAGAACAAAGTTGGACACGAATATGAGCGAGAAAAGAGGAAGAAGAATGAGAGTATATTTCTCATCAGAAAATTCAGAGAAATATATATGTGGATAGATTTTACGTGAACTTGTGGCGTGGGTTCGGCATGTATCCACAGAGCCAGCGATCCTCATTCATGCATTATTAGGGAAACGTCATTCCTCCATCAAATCGAAGGGAAGCTCAGAGGAGATGCACCGACTCGAGTATCTTAAGCCATTAATGGAGCTCTCTCATCACCAATGGCACGCACGATCCCCAAAGTCACATCTTCTTCATTCGTGATCGAATCAAGCACCCGATGAAAACCTGGAGACGACACCTGCGGATAGCGCACTATAGAGAGCCGTGGTCGTGGTAGAGGAGAGCTGGCATGCAAACACCACATCTTTGATGCCACCATGGCTAGTCAGTCTTTATGAGCATGCATCGCGCAAAAAAGGGGGGGAAAGGTTGATGCCGTGTCAAGTTGCTACCAGGAGAAGGAAGGGGGAAGTGCGTTAGGCATGTATCGCATGCAGGGGTTGGGCTTCTTGTAGATGGGTTTGGCTTATGCGTGGGGAAAAGGGCTTTTGCGGTGGGCATGCCAAGAACGACAAGGGGATAGGAGATTGGACACGCCTTTTTGATCTCATTTGTAGTTAATAGGAGCAATAGGGGGAAGAGGATGAGATGGGTCGATTACAAAACTTACAATGCAAAGAGAAAAGCTTAAGACGGCAGGTTGAAGGTGACATTCGATTGTCCGTACTTGGCGGCGTACTTGTCGTCTTTTTTTGGCTTCACGGTGAGTAGTCAGTCCACTTGTAGCCGTTCTAAATGCTTGTAGATTGTAGGTAGATATGTCTTGTACAATTATCTACGCATATTTTATGACTTGTGTGTCTTTTGGTTGATTGATTGATTTGGAAGCGACTGTAATGCATTACAACTCCTCCTTCTGTTGTTATTGCATAAAACACCAATGAATGCATCTTTTAATGTCTTACCCTTTTTGTAGTAATTCATGAAATGAAAGAAAGATAAAACCCCTTGTAATGTTTCCGAATGTATTCAATAAAATTCTCTCCTGCAAGCAATCGAGAATATTCCTCCTACCAAAAACAAATTTTTTCGCTTATAGAATTAGTCTAAATGGAAACATCGATTGATTATCCAATCAATTCATCTGTATTGATGCATCCAAATTATAATAAATCCAATAGAAGCCACAAGTACAAATCATTACCACAACATTTCCCTAATGGATGCAAAAGCATACCGATCCAAATGCTTGGTACATATGTGCATGCGTATAAATATTGATGTCTTCCATCCTGCACTAATCCACCCACCACCGTACAAGTTAAGAGAGAGAGATATGATCCCGAAATCACAATGGACTGTGTAAGAATGACGCTAACAGAGAGTTAACAGCCTTGGTCATTGGCAAATGAGATTAGACTGGGGCAAATGTTGCATACATCATGAGCATTGTGACCATTAGTACAAACATCATTCGAACAACAAACATGAGGTGGTCGCTATGTGTAACCAGCACATGTTCGCCCAAAGAACCTGACCCAACCTGCACCAGAGGCAGCATGATCCAACTGTCGCTGTCGGTGAGATAATCAGATGGCTCGGTCAAAGTGTCCGCTGCTGGATCTTCATTTTCAAGCGAGCAAATTGCATTTGATACAGCCCGCTGATATGCAAGTAGCAAATGCAACTCAGCTGAATTGATTCAAACTCCCTACTTATACTGTAAACCATGACCGGTTCAGAAATAGAAAGCTTACCTTGAGAATATTTCCAAGCTCGTGTTAACATGTTAAATTGTTTGGGGTTAACATCTGAGTACACACAACTCATCCTCCGTGTATATGGGCTGAGAAGCAATTTGCAGAGACCTTACATTTAGGCTACAGAAGAATTATGGTTAAATTAAAAGGTAAATCTTTCCTCGTACCAGAGAGTTTCTTGACAATTCTTCTAATACAATTGCGGCCATTTTACAGAACCAGTTGCTCGTTTTCTCACGCTCGATGAATCATTTTTTTCAATTTCATCATGCCACACCATTTCCATCTTGTGAATTGCCATAAAATTTAAAAAACAGAGTTAATCAAATCAAATTAAAAGAAAAAAAAAACAATTTCAATTTTGAGAACCCACTACCTGCTGAGCTTGTAATCATTAAGCAAAAACTTTAACCAAAAAGAGGATTGCAAATTGTACCTCTGATATGATGACTGTGTCCCCTTCTTTAATTCCACGTTTAATTAGAGATTTGTTCACGCCACATGCCTCCAAAACATGCTGAAATCTTCTCAAAGACTCCAAATACCTGACCCACATTTAAGGTTATGTCGTATGTTATCAGATAATTTCAACAAAAATAAATAAATCCTCTTGGTACGGGATACATAGAACCACACCTCGCCCCCTCTGAAAAACATTATTAACCAAATTTGATCAAATTAATTTTGTTACATTTTGTACTCCCCAGATTAGATGTGATAGTTTTTAGCAGGTTATCATGCAAGATAACAACCAGTGAGAAAAAAGTTCTTTAATGAAAAAGAAACCTCATTGCACGAGGTTTCCACCACTACAAAGTTTGTGGAGGGACAAATACATATAGCCCAACCTACAAAACTCACTAATGCACCATGGGTCACTCTCAATTATGTCTATAATGACTATGAAAAAAAGAAAAATGACGGTTTCGTAGAGTTCTAAAAATTAAAATATTTGATTATATTCAGCACTATTAAAGAATTTTTAGTCTGACATAACCTACTTCAAATTGAACTTCATCCAACCTTTTCCCCAAATGAAGTCATTGTTTCTTTTTAGTTTTACATTAGATTGCTAATGTGCCTTCTTAGGTACTATAGTTTCATTTTTCCATTAGTGAATTTGCTTAGCTTAAGTTATAAACGTATGTAAAAGTGACATGTAACCACTTAAATTCCAGAATTTTTCTTACAGATATAGTGCAAAAATGATCCATCATAATGTACCTTCTTATAGTGCAATTTACGCAAATACGATACAAAAAAACCATTTTCATATCATTTCCAAAATGTAAGTGTTATGGTTAACAATTTTATCAATAAGTTGCTGCATAAGAAATGTGTGTGTGTGCGTGCACACACACACACACACACACACACACACAAAGTTGAATACTTCACAGCAATAATAACACAAGAATTGGCTAACACCCAATGATAAGGTCAGAATGGTCACAAAGAGAGTAGAATGCATACTGCCAATTTGTCATTTGAACAAAACGTCGTAATCCAGCCCCATCTACATGCCATGTATTAGAGCTGCTATCATAAAAGATTTCAAATTCATTCATGGAAGAGCTTCGTTGCTTTTGTATGGTGTCGGCAACATGATTTAGATTCAATGGACCAGTCCACTCTGCAGCAAGAAACAGCACAACAATGACTATGGGAAATACCACACATACAAAACCAAATAAATTACATGGATAAAGATAACCTTTACAATTCAAACGTAAATCTATAAAAGTAAACAACCAAACTAAGCTACCATATATAATCTTTTTCCAAACTGAAACAACAAAAGGTTAGGAAATGTCAAATCTTAGTGCTTCACTTGCTAGTTCTTGACATGCTATTCAGTTTCTGTTGAGGCCTGAGTATTTATGACCATCATCATGTACTTGGTGTTTGCATATCCTTATGTAGACATTTTGGGAATGCAATAAATTCTTTTTTCTTACCGATGGGCAGTAGTTGGTAGTCCATGTAGTCAGTTACATATCTTATTTAAGCCTTTAGTTATGAAGAAAAAGTAGAGAGAACAGATCTATTTTCTTCTTAGGGGCTTCTTGTCTCTTAGAGAAGCCGAAAAAGGTCAATTTCTGAAGGTTCTAAGATAAGGTAGCTGGCCCTTTTTCATTGTAACTTTTCTTCCATTCCAAACCATTGTTGGTGGAGATTTCTTGGTCCATTGTTTCTTAGTTTTTCTGTCAGCTGCAATTTTACTTTGGTTAGGATATTGTGGAATTTGTGCTTGAAGGTGTTTCCTCTCTTGTTTGTTTAGCATCTATTTCTTCTCCCCATCTCTTGGTTGATGTTCTGACCTAGCATTGTACACTTTGTGAAAAGTGCTTGGATTCATGCAGACGGTTTATTTTCCCATCAAGAAGGATATCAGATTAGTTTCATATTATCACCACAAGAAAAATTGCCAAAAAATCTCAGTTATCAGCAACTTTTGATGGCCTTAAATAAAACCCAGACTAGTATAGTGATCTTAGAAATAAGAAAGAACACAAAGGTGAAGGTATATGCATCACATGGATAGTTTATTTTCAAGAACCAACTGAACACCAAATTAGTTTAGGATAACACACAAAGGAATTTAGCTGGGAAATCAGATTAGTGGC